GGGGAACAGCATTGACCAGCATAGCTTCGTTGTGTTTTTGTGCTGGTATCACCAGCAAGCAAACAAAATAAAGCAGCCAATATTTGAGCAGCCAAACTTCGGTCACCGGGCAACCTGCTCGATGAAATGAGCCACCACAGGTGCCCGGCAGTGCCAGCCGATTGCTGAGGCCCCGCCAGGCTGAGCTGGGGATATTGTAGCTGATGACCAGCTGGGGTCACCACCAGCAGGGCAAAAACAGCCTGCCGGTCTTGCTGGGTGGCTTTGACTCAGCTGGTCGAGCGGGTTTGCTCAGTGACCCAAGTGTCGGCTGTTCGAAAATTTGCAGTTTTGTTTTGCTGCTCGTTTGCTTGCTGGTGATACCAGCATAACCAGCATGCAAACGCAACAAAATCATGCTGGTGTATGCAGTTTTTTTTTTAAACAGGGTTCAACTCCAGAGTGACTTACAAATGTTTATCTTCTTCGTGATGCATTTTTTTTTTGACTGGTATGACTCCGAAGCGACCACACAGTATATGTTTTCCATGATAACTTACTTGCTGTTGAGTACTGCCACTCCGACGGTGCTTCTGGGTGTGGCCATACTGGCAACAAAGCTCCACTGGCGAGCTTGAGGGTCCCACCTAACAAAATCAAATAAAGAGTAACAAGCTCTCATTTCATGCCGGCATCAGACCACTATCATTCCCATAAGAGCTAAAACAGTAGAGGAGCTCGATATAAACATAACTCTACAATGCTCTGATTTCCTTGAGACACAGTCAAACTAGGAAAATAAGGTCGTCTTGGAGTCTAAACCAATTAATTTTAATTGGTGGGTTGGGAACCAAAAGTGGGTCACAATGATTTAAGTATTTGTATTTTTTTCAGAACAGTATTGAGGTGTAAAATGTGCCTACATGGAACATGCAATATTGGCTAAGCGTCAGGAAATGTGACTCACTTGTGCTCTAGTCACTAGCAGCTAGCTACTCCAGAAGCAGATACAGTGCGTCTCAGCCTTTGGCTGACGCGCGTCATAGCGAGCAATATGCTTTCGTCATTATATAAAACCGAGTGTGAAAATGTAACATACTGAACATGGATTTTCGGAGGCTATTTTTAAACAAACAAAAAAAGTGTTATCATTCTCAACTTCTTTAAAATGGGTGGTGAATTTGCATCAATAGGAAATTGCCGGTAGCAACAGTTGAGAACCAGTGGTCTCGACATTTTATTTCTTCACGTCTTTCTCCGTTAACCTGAAAGCAACCTGTTAGCTAGCTAGATAACATTCATCCGTCTATCCATCCATTTTCTAATCAGTGTATTCTCACGAGGGTCGCGGGCATGCTGGAGCCTATCCCAGCTGTCTTCGGGCAGTAGGCGGGGGACACCCTGAATCGGTTGCCTACCAATCGCAGGGCACACAGAGACGAACAACCATTCACAATCACACTTAGGGACAATTTAGAGTCAATTTATGGTCAAACTTGTGAAGATTAGGGCAATATCTAGCAGCAAAAAATACATCGGTGGTCTACCAAGTCTCCAAAAGTGAACTGAAATGTGTCTCTTTATGGCGCCACTGAGATGCAACAAAAGTGCATCCTCCTCATCCACATGAGCTGTTGCAAGGAGTGTGAAAAGCTCGCTCACCTTTCTACTGTACTGAGGTAGCTCCAGCCGTCATGTCCTCCTACCGCGTACATTGGCCCTTCAAGGACGGCGACACCTGCAACACCCCATCACATATGCTTTTGTGTTTGACGGATTCACACCAACTCACCAAAGAATTCACCAAGCTCAAACAAACCCACAGCGGTTCTGGACCACACATGGCTTGATTGTGTAGACGCGCACGCACGCGGTATTGGCGTGCAGAGTTGACAGCATGTTGACACCTCCACATTTACAGGATTTATATATCAGTACATCTGTTCTGCCAGATGTGCTCTCAACCTCTTCCCGTCACACACCCACAAGCACTCCTCAAAAAAAAAAAAAAACAGCACATGCATGTCTTAGTTGACATATAATTGAATTTGTGGGCTTGCAGGGTTCACCATCCACCCTGTGGGAGTGTCCTTGAACACAACACAGACTCAGAGACTGCTGATGTGCTACGGTGACCCTAAAGCAACCTTTGACTGAACAGAACGTAAGGCAATTTCTCAACAGATGAAAAAAAATAATCTGAGGCCTCTTCCACACCATGCTTGGATTTCTTTGCTTGCTGCCGAGCCAATCAGGAAATAACAGGGAGGCTTCTCCAGCTGGTTGGGCTCAAATCACTCTGCTTGATCCTCTCCTACTGGATAGCTCGAATGACATCGCCGCGACGCCAATGTAGAATAGAACATTTTTCTATTTGAGATTGCGTCGCCTGGAGATGTGCAATCGCCTTGCGGCATTCCTTCCTCATTTCCCAGATTCCATAATACACAAAGAATGAGTTCATCAACAGTGTGTTGTGCGTTGGTAGTTTGAAAAGGCCTGAAGGGATCTCGACAAATGCTTAAATAATTCACCAATGACATAAGGCGAGCCAAGGTGCCAGGGCAAACAGAAAGACTGAAAGAAAACTTGCTAATAATCTTGATTCATTTGCTGAATATGTCATGTTTGTGCCTCTGTATTGATGAGTTGTTATTTTTATCATTTATTCTGTCTGTTTTCAACTGTCAAAATATTGCTTGACGTAAAATTGGCCGCTGGCGAAAAAAAAAAAATATGGGGATGGCTGCCTTATTGGTTTATGAGCATTAATAGTAAGTCATTTGGGTTCCTCACCTAAGCCGTGTCTGTGTGTAGATATGGGTGGCATGACACTCCAAGTCTTGCACCGAGGGTTGTAACACTCCACCGTGTTGAGGGTCTTGAGTCCATCTCGGCCCCCCACCACATAGAGGCGGCCATCCAGGACGGCGACGCCAAACTGAAGCCTCCGACCGCTCATGGTCGCCACCTGCTTCCACGTGTCCCGCCGTAGACAATATTGCTCAATACTAGTAGCACCTGCAGGTAGCCAGATTAAAAAAAAAAAAAAGTACACTGTAAGGTTAAGACATTTGATATTCATTTATAATATACAGTCATGCAAAGATTAGAGTGAGTGAGTGAGTGAGTGATAGATGGTTAACTTTAACGTCTGTTTAATGGCCAGAATAGCATAGGACTAAAGCATTTAATCCAACCCTACTGCGGTCACCTTAAACTGTACCTTGAAGCCATAATGGCAGAGGATCAGCATATATACAATCACATCTTTATAAAGGACTGACTCCTGTCACAAAACAACAGGAATGATCCGTGTTGCTATGACGGGTGCACTTGTGTTGCGTTTGCCAACGATCAAGCTACCTTTTGTGGCGTCCATTCCGCCAACCGCGAACATGGCCCCAACCGTGGCCTTGCGGGGCCGCGTGCGCGAGCTCTGAAGCAGGGGCCGGCGATGGGGCAAGAGATGGTACTTCATTCCTTCCATCAGCAACCGCTGGCAGTCCACGCTGTCTCGGAGCATGGGGCTGGTCTCCAGGTCTGCTAAGAACTGAGCGCACACATGAAATTAGAATATACACACACGCAGATCTCCCTCCATACGCTCTCTCTTAAGAACAAACACATACGCTTCAATGGATCGAAGTTTAAGCAAGCCAACCGCCTGTGTGTACCCTGTAGCCATCAATTACATTAAAACATATGTAGACATGGGTGTGATTGAACATTATTGTGTACATTTGGGCAACGCAAAGCAACTCTGTAAGCCTAGCCGCAAAAATAGAAAGATGCCTCCAAAATTAAGTGAACGTGCTCACGGAATAAATAAATCAATTTTGAGATAAGAAAACCTTTATTTGTCCCACAATGGAGAAATTTGAAATAAATGGAGAAATAAATCAATTTTCAGAGCGTACCAGCAGGCAAGCAAAATGGATAAGCAGCTTACACCGCAGGGAGAATCCTTCAATGGAGCTCACTCAGTGAGAGACACATTAGGGTGAGCCTCCATTTGCTGCGTGTGTCATAAAGGAGGACAGAGACACACAGCAACACACACAATCCTGACGGATGATGATGACACATTTGAGTCGATGCTAAATTTTTATGCATCATTCCGACCCAAGGTAATTGCATCCCGTGGCCGATTTGACGCATCGTGACATTTAATCAACGACAAAAAAAGATTGATGGTTGCAGCCTTACAGCAGATTGTTCTATTTACAGCCAACAGATGCTACACTGAATGCCTACCATTGTGTGTGAATGTGTGTGTTTGAGGTGATCTAAATGAAGGAGCAGGGATCAACTGCCTCCTCTTGATGGGTAAATCCAGAGCGATTTAGATTGCCAACTTGCTAATAGGGTAATGAATGAATATTTATGATGCCTCTATCTGTGAGTGGAGTTTTTTTCCACCTTTTATTGGCATTTTACAAGTCCTGATGCAGCTCAATGTCAATCCATTTGCCAGTTTAACGTGCAGGCGATGACTCCCATGAAAAGGCTCTCTGGCTATTGCTTCGTCTGCGGTGTCGCTGTTCCCTGTCTGCCATCCATCTTGCCACTGATTACATGTTACAGCAACCTATGACTGGGCCAATGTCATATATCTGAGGTGTGAAGAGAGATTGAGGCAAATAATTCGAAAAGAGGAACAGGGGCGCTGAGTAGTGGTTTGTCTCTGCTGCAGAGATTACAGAATTTAGCTGGGGTTAAGAGAGATATTAAGTCTTACATATTGTTTGTATTTGTGCATCCAATGCCCCGGGCTACTTTAGCCAGAGAGCACGAAGGCATCATTTGGAAAAACATTTGCGATGTATCATTAGATAGAAAGATTCGTGTATAGATAGAGATACCCAATTTTTCCCCATGAAGGAAATTACATCATCAATGCCACGTGGGACTGTGCCCAACTAGGATGTGACTGGTTTTCTCCCTTTAGCGCACCCTTCGTTTCCCTCATGACATGAACAGCGTATCTCAAAATTTTACTTGCGTGATTCAATTGCAGTTGAATTCACCAAGTCATCCTCAAACGTATGGCGCAGCTCTCACCTGTGGCTGCAACAGCGGCAGTCTGACATGAGCGAGAAGCGCCGGCAGGTGACGTTGTCGGGCGCCCACGTCGTGATGCACCCAAGTAAGCAAAGCGGTTACCACCGTCTCCTCATCCGGAACGTTAAGATCATCCGAAATGAGCAGCCTCTCCATCTCATCCACTGGAAGCAGCATGAACTCTTGGCCCCCAACCACCTCCACAAAGTGTTCCTAGTTGGGGGTGCAAGAGAGACAACAGAGAAATTGGGAGTCTCAAAACAATGCATGATGAATAGATTTAAACTAATTTCAACGAAGGCTAACAACAAACATGTTAATAATGGACATGCAATGATTATTATTATTATTATTTTTTGCCCAGGGGTTGCTTCATTCATTATCCCAAGTTGTCTTTAAAGCTTCTCGAAGTGTAGAGATGAAGTGGTGGGCACCCACCATGGTGTAGGTGTGAGCGGCCCTCTGCAGGTCGTGGCAGCCCTGCGCGTTGGCGTAGGAGCTGATGCCGAGGCAATTGGAGGGGTGGAGCTGCTTCAGGAGGAAGGAACAACAAGCCTGAACCGCCGAAGACAACTGTAGAAGACAAGAGGCGGACAGCAAAGACTCAATGGTGTCCTCCCTCAACTCCAGACGCCCTGAAGACAAAGAGATGGGGAAGTAAAACATGACAAAGTGGGGAGGGGAACAACAACAAAAAAGCAATATTATTTAAGGGTTCCTATCAAAAACAACAACACTCCGTGAGTGCAGACCTCCACCAAAAGACAAACAATTGCGAATTGCACTAAATAAAGGTGAAGACCATAGATGTATCCAAAACATTCCAGATACATTTTCCCCAAAATCCGGTAAATTCACTTTTATTAAAAATATATATCGATTTTTTTAAATGATATAAATCTAAAATATTAAATACATTCATATTTTTCTTCTTCTTTTTTAAATATTCTGTATGTATCATATCCCTGATTGTATCAGATAATTTTACGGAAACAATTTTTTACACTATTCTAAAAGGTTCCAGGTACTGGTAGTTTCAAGCATAAACCTAATCGACAAAGTGATCTAACTATAGTTCACATTTGTAATATTCAATATGCATGCATAGTACTGAAATAGGGAATGAATGATACTGGATGGCGAACTTTTTTTTTTTTTGTCAAGACGTAAATTTTTAAAAAAGTGATTGTTTTTATGCTATCATAATGCATCTTTGTGTTTTGTACTTCTGAATCTCACAGCAAACTACAAAAATAGCCATTTGTTGTGAACGGAAGTATCCAAAAATATTCAACAAAGTGCTTCACAGAATACAGGAAAAGCAAGCAAACTAAAGAAAGCCAATCCCAGTGACAGGTCGCAGATGCGCAGAAACACGGAACCCCCCCCCTCCCCCCACCGACTCCCCCAAAAAAACACCCACTTTCACACATAACATCCGGTATGTGAGAAGACTACCGAATGAAAGACAACTGAAGCACTCTTTTATTGCCAGCAATTTGCTCAGCAAAATTTAGGACAAAAAGGTAGCACTATAAAAACAAATCATACCTGTGTAGGCAAATTGCACCAGAATCCACAATGCATCTGGGTCCACACCCTCCATCTTCACCTCATCCTGTTTGGCCTCCCGCACATCGCTGGTGAACATGGCCGCAAAGTAGTCGGACACAGACGAGAGAACCAGCCTGCGAGAAGTGAGAAGTTAGACGAGTATCGGTCCAGAAATAGCATTGAAACTCTACGCTAAGTTTAAACTGTCGCTCGCAGAAAGCTTTCATTAACTGCACTAGTTTTGGTCATTTGAATACAACTAACATATCTTCAACACGGTGAATATCAATTACCCGTCTGAGAGTCTTCACTTTGTGGCTTGCTTGTCACAAAAGTTTAAAAAGGAATTCATTTTTACTTTAGCTTCAATATTTTCCCACCAAGAAAATGAAGATGAACAGCACAGTTGTCATGATACATCCCCCATTTGAAAGCCACGGGACTGACTTTGAGTCTTGAGTTTTGCAAATGAGCCACTGCTCACCCCGCCCCCTCTACTGCAGGGTGTGCCCACCCGAGAGATACCCCTGAGGCAAGTACAGTTTTGCGTTATCATGATGACCAGAGGGGAGGAGGCTACCCTTGAATCTGAATTTGACTTGGGATAAATGTAACACAAGTGCCAATAAAATAGCGGCTGAACTGATTCTTCGACGTGTCAACTTAACCATTCCATAATGATAGTTAGAGCTTGGAGTCGATTAATCGCCAATCACATCACGGACCATATGGAAAGGCATCCGCGAATGTAGCTGATGAACAGTCTGAATACTCTCGCCAGGGTTCCCACTCTTCCACTTGCTTTTTATTTATGGGCCTTTTAAGGACTTTTGAGGGCTAATTTAGCCATTTTTTAAGGACTCTTTCTCCATTCAGCAGGGGATTCACGGTGGATTTAATGAACAGAAAGCCACATATCACTGAGCTGGTGTTCAAATCATTGCTGCCAAAGGAAGGGCACATCTTTATTTTTAGGGGCAATCAGCTAACCCTTTATTTGACATATTGGATGTCAAATTGGCCCGAAATGACCCGAAGTGATCACGTGATCTTCATCGGAACTGATCGGAGACGGCGGGAAAAGCAGAGCGGGAACCAGGAAGGCATGTAGCCCGACAGAGGGGTTTGAGGGGAAGGGCGCCAGGCGCATTTTCCAACAAAACTATTCATTGGAAGGGTGGGGAAAATGACATGCATAAATGAAATGAACACCACAGGTTCATTTTTAAGGATCTTTATTGATTTTAGAAGTTTTCCCTGAAAATTAAGAACAGAATTTTACAACTTCTTTTTTTTATGGATTTTTATTAACTTTAAGGACCCATTGGAACCCTGCGGACGACTAATTGGAACAGAAAAAAGGCTGAGGAAAAACTGTTGCATCTGCTTTTACGATGAAATCGACATAAGTGGTCAATTAAGAGCCTGTGGAAATTAACGGTAAATGACGGCCATAACTAACCCAATAACCCCCACCTCCTCGAAGAAAAAAACATCCAGCTAGTGTTTGGATCAAGCCTTCAGCCAGCAGACACGCTGCTCATCCTTCTGCCAGCCCCCCCAGCCAGAGACTTACTCATCCAATCACAAATCACACCCAGACACATTCACTGCCTCCCAGACAGTCTGAATGTATAGAAATTAAGCA